TTTTTTTTCCCTGAATGTTTTCCTGCCGAGCTTCTAAAAGACACTCAACTGGAGTTTTTAGAGCTTGTGCAGTGAAAATGCTGCAAATGGACGCACACACACATGAACACCTACACCAACACGCACACAAATTCCTGCTGTGCTGCTTCCTGATGTGCGAATGAGCTCATACTGAGGGATCAGGGGTCGAGGTGCATTATCTCAGGTACCAGAGAGTCTTGTTTACCACTTCCTGTCAGGCTTAAACCCATAAATCAGGGCACAAACACACAGAGACAGAGAACAGCTCTTCTTCATACACCTGTGATTATACTTTCTGTTTTTTTCCTCTCAAATGTCTTCTCACAGCCTCACGGCCTGTCCTTAAATGCCATCCCCTCGCCTGTGAACTCCGTTATTTAATAAGTGAATTGAAGTGTTTCATTCTGCAGCGAGATGTGCTCCATTTGAAGACCTGATGGTACAAAATGATTTCTGCCATGAGAGGAAAAAAGCACATTATGAGCTATGAGTCATCTGGAGACTGCATTAACCTCTGAAAGTTTTTCTTTTTCTTTTTTTTTTGAAAAAATAATCAAAACTTTTTTTTCTTCCAGGAAACAACATAAAATAATAACAGCGCCATTGTCCCACAGTTGATAATTTGTGAGATCCTCATTTACATAATTTCTGTAAGCAGATTAGCTTAATTAAAACTGTCAGTGCTGTTTTTGAAGTTTAGCCAGAGCTGCTGCGCTTGCCTTTATCTCCAAGCTCCTGGATCTTTCTTTGAATCTGCAGATGTAGATCGAGCCTGCGGCTGCTGTAGTCGCAGCGATGACCTTTTTCTGCTTTAAAAATCGCATGTTTTCTCAGGATAGAGATGCCTCTCATCAAAGAGCAGAGAGGAACATTGATTAGTTTTCCAGAGGGAGTTTTTTGGACTTACTGTGACCTCCGTGAAAGTTGAAGGGATGCATCATGCCTATGCTGTAGTCGTAGGCAGTTTAAAGGACGAACGAAGCTTCATGGGCTGAAACGTGAAGCCAATCCTGAAAGCGACTTAAACTGGGCTTCTTTTTAATGGCCAGCAGCAGTTGAGTCCTCTGCTCAATCGATCTGTTATTTCACTAAAAAGATTTTTGAGGCTTTTACAAGGTCAGTGTGCAAGTTTATAGTCTCGTACATTAAAACGTGATGCACATATTCTGTTGTTGTAGTCAGAAAAGTTAACCCTTTAAAACCGGTCAAAATTATTTAAGTGGCATGCCACTGAGATTTTTTGTTTGGAAGACATCCCACTACACACCCAACGCTAAGCATTTTAAACCATGTTTAAGTTTTTTATCAATGTCATTTAATTACAGTGTAGTCCTTAAAAACAAACAAACAAAAAAAACTACAAGTCCGATAATATAAGGCTGAGCCTCCATCACTGATTTGTAGATGAACCCTGTAAAGGAGACAGCCTTAAGCTGTACCACACACTTGCAGTGTGCTGTGTAAAACAGTATGTGGTATTG